ATGGGATCTATGCCCCAGCTCCAAGGCTGGGATCTTCCACATAGCAGATACTGTATTTATATGTGAGAAATAACTCATTTGGACTCAGGAGGGATGAAGTTAAAAGCCCAATTTATTGTGCATTTGCAACCACGGGTGTCCTACGGACTAGAACACGTCGTACCAAAGCAGGAGTTCACCGTTTATCTCTAGTCCCTGCCACAAAGTCCCTCCTCTGTTTCCTCATTGGCTGAGTACTCCAGGGTGCACAACTTTCCAGTATGCCTATTACACGTCTACTCCTTGACACGTTCTCCCTCCTTCTTCATACATCCCATGTTCAGAAAATGGCATCTTCACCCCTCCCGGCGGTGGAGAAGCTGATATTTATAAGCCTAGTATGCATGTGCACTCTTAGCCTTTGTCCTACTTACTAACTTCTATCAGCAAAACAAGATAAGACCAGCTTTAGCCTATTTTACCTAGTTACTTTTAGCAGTTTCAATTTGATGGCATCTTTTGTTCTGGTTAATTAGCTTCTATCAGCAGAACCAGAGAAGGCCTATTGTATCCTGCTTTACTCAGTTACTTCTCTCCTGTTTGCTCCAAATTTATGGGAACAAACATTTCCATTCATATCTCTCCTAGAACAGCTGAATGACATGGGATCCTGTGCTTGTTACTTTTGCCCCATCTTTTGGATAGTGGCAAACCCCACCCAAACACCCCTAATGAGCGCCAGGGATTGCTCCAAAGGCAGGTGAAAAGGTGGGCAGAGATCTCCTGGGTGCTGGCGGGGTGTGACCAGCCTCGGGGAGGGCTGGGCAGCATTTGGCTTCATTACGAGCTCCTGGCAGGGAGCAGATCTGAGCTAGTAGCAGGCCCGTGTGTGAGGCAGCCCCAGGGTTGGGCCACGTGGATGATGTCAGAGCGATCGGCCCCTCTTGACTCGATTCCCCATCACGACTCAGGTTGGTTTCCCCCCCGGAACTCGGAATGAGGCCGGGCCACACCAGGAGCTTTGGGGTAACAGGAGACTCCACTAAGGTGACCGAAGCCATGGCCTTAGTCTAGTCTATAGTAAGTCTCCCTAATCTGCCTTGACCTCTTCCTTCAAGCAGCAGTATCAGGAGAAATGGAAGTGAAGGAAGGTGGCGGGGCTTTACTGCTACTCACTTTTTCGTTTGGGAAGAGGACGGGGGTTTGGTTTTCTCCAAACAGCATTAGGGCTTAGTGAACTTTGCTGGGTCAGCTAAGAAGCCTGTGACTGTTTATGGATGTTTCGAGTTCCAAACACTCCACTTGCAACTAGAGTTTTCAAATGGGAATGTGGAATGTTGAAGCTGGGTGGGACCTTTGGCTCATCTAGTCCAGCCCCTCATTGTACAGATGGGGGAAATGGAGGCTCAGAGAGCTCAGATGTTTTGCCTAAAATCACATAGGTAGTAAGGAGCAGAGCTCCAATTTGAACCTGGACCTTCTGGTCCAAATCCACTAAGCCATGCTGCTCATCAGAACTGGTTAGCTTGCCTCAAGGGGGAGATCTGATTGGCTGCTACTGGGAGGAGGTTGAGGGGGATGGAAATAAAGGAATTATGCCACGGTGGTGGGCAGCTGTAGGGCACCAGGCCTGGAGTCAGGAAGAGTTCAAATCTGGCCTCAGACACTCCCTGGCTGTGTGACCCTGAGGAAGTCACTTCACCCTGTTGGCCTCAGTTTCCTCATTTGTCAAATGAGCTGGAGAAGGAAATGGCAAACCACTTTGGTATCTTTGCCAAGAAAGCGGGGTCATGAGAAGTTGGACAAGGGTAAGCAATAACTGAACAACAGACAGCCACGGTGGTTAGAACACAGGACTTGGAGGCAAGGTAGTCTGGCTCAGAATTCCACCTCAGATGCTTCCTGCTGTGTGACCCCGGGCAAGTCACTTCACTCTGCTGACCTCAGTTTCCTCAATTGTGAAATGGGAATAATAGTAGCACCTACCTCTCAGGGCGCTTGGGAGGATCAGCCGAGTCAGTGTGAAGTGCTCGCCATGTATGTAGTAGGTGCTGTGTAAATGTGTGTTCTTATCAGTTACTGTTATTCTGGGAACTTGGAAAACGTAGTGAGAAGTTGTGGGCAGAGGTGACCTTTAGAATGTGGAAGTCCTGAGATTCCTGTCTATCTTCGGCACTTCTCAGCTGTCGGACCCTGGCGCCTCTCAACCTTGATTTCCTTATCTGTCAAGTGATGCTCATGTGCCAGGGTTGTTGGGAGAAGTAAACGAAAGCCTTCGGGGTCAGGCCTTCCCAGTGTGATAGCAGGGTGCGGCGTCTACTTCCGTCTTGCCTTTGTGGACAGGAAGGTCACGATAAGGTGCCCCTGCTGGGCTGGAGCTGTGAAGCAACCCCACTCCTCCCCGCCCCAGTTTATTTCCCTGTTGCTTTAACTGGGTTTGTAGGCGTGGAATGGGCCGGTTCTCTGTCTCCAGGTGCTCAGGTTGTGGGTTCCAGTCCCTACTGCTCTGTACCGCTGTTAGGCCTTTGGGAGGTCTCCGCAGTGACAGGGAGAAAGTGCCTTTCTCCAAAGAGGATTCGTGGCTTGTTGCAGTAGGTTCCAGTCTGGCAATTTTGGGGGTGGTTTGATACAGCCTGGGTCAGCACACTGTGCTGCTCTGTAATAGGACTGGCATGCAGGCCATGTTTTCCCATCTGGTCCACAAGCCTAGAATGTTGGCCATCACACACCTTGCTGGAAGAGTCCTGGCTTTGGTGTTGGAGGACCCAGGTTCAAGTACTGTTTCTGTCCTCTGGCCTTGAATGCCAAACAGCATTTTGTATTTGATCTTGGAGGGGACAAGCTTTAAAGTCTAGAGGATTTTGGATTGCATCCTGGAGGCAACAGGAAGCTCCTGGAATTTAATGGCGTCAGAGTGGAAGATGGCCTGGAGTGGGGAGAGACTTGAGGCAGGCAGCTTCCCCCCTTCCACTGCCAGCTACTGTCATGGTCCACGTGTGAGGGGATGAGGGCCTCCACCAGGGTGGGGGCAGGGTCAGAGAAGAAGAGGGGCGGTATTGGGGAGAGATGTTAGGGTAGATGTGACAGGCTGTGGCAACAGCTTGGATACAGGGGATGAGAAAAAGCGGTGAGGAATCTGGGCTCAACACAGACCCTTAGCAAGTTCCTTACCTTCTCTGGCGTGCCTTTGTTTCCCCTTGTATAAGATGAGGGGATTGGCCTTTGAGGCCATTTCCAGCTACAATCTTATGTGATGGTGGATTTGGTCCAAAATGGTGTCATTCAGACAGTTTTGCCAAGCAGATTTTAATGCCATTGGGAAACGTTTAATAAAATAAATAAAAATACCATTGAGCTTCTGTCACATTACATTCGAAAACTAAGTGTGTCTCTGGAAAGGATCCTTGTGTGTGGGCTGGTGGCCCATTGTGATGGACAGAGCAGGGCCTCAGCTTGATGCTTGGGATTGGACATGTCTTAGTTCTGTGTGGGACGCTGTGAATGTGTTTTACCTCTGCCAGATGGGGCCTGTCATTCTTATTCTGAATGGAACGTGAACTTCTCCAAGAGCTGGGTGTTTGTGGGCCTCCAGGGCTGGCCTTAGGGTCCTGCACCTCGTCTATGCTTCTGACTCACTTGGATTTGGGTTGAGGCAATGGCTACATTTCAGTGGGTTAGCCACCACTTCTTTCCTTGTGAGATTTGCATGGCCTACTCCTGTCAGTCAGTCCTGCTGGGTTTTCATGGATTCATTCATTCATTCATTCATTCATTCACCATTCATTCACTTGTTTATCATTTATTCATCAGGCTTTTATTAAGTGAATTGTCAGGGGCTTTGAATGTCAGATAGAGAGCATTTTGTATTTGTTCCTGGAGATAATAGGGATTCACTGGAGATCATTTTGAGAGAGAGAGAGAGAGAGAGAGAGAGAGAGAGAGAGAGAGAGAGAGTATGATTGTATCTGTGCTTTGGGAAAAATCCCTTTAGTGCCTGAATGGAGGATGGCCTGGAGTGGGGGGAGACTTGAAGCAGGCAGAGTCTCAGTAGTTACTGCAATAGTCCAGGCGTGAGGGGATCGGGGCCTGCACCAGGATGGGAGCGGGGTCAAAGGAAAGAAGGGGGTAGATTGGAGAGATATTGTATAGACAGAAGCAACAGACCTTGACAACAGCTTGGATACGGGGAGAGGGGTGTGAGAGAAAGAGAGTGAGGAGTCCAGGTTGAGACTGAGCCTGGGGGACTGGGAGGGTGGGGGTGCCCTCCAGTCACAGGGCAGGGGGAGGACTTGGGAGGAATCCATTGGATCTAGGCCATGAAAAGGAAATGAATTGTGTTTGTGAGTAGGTAGGGAACGTATCCCTTCATCCTTTGCAGTGCTGGAGTAGGGACCGTGTGCAAAGGTTACTCTCTTCTCTCACTCTGGGAGATGCCTAGGCTTTATCTCATTGCCATAGCAACCCCTGGGCCCTTTCCATCCATTGGGCGGTGGGGGGAGGCTTTGTTTCCTTTTTTTGTTCTTGGTTTTTTCTCTCCCTCTGTCCTTCCAGCCCATTTTCAAACCCTGAACCAGATTCATTTGTGACTGAGGAGGGAGCAGGGCCTTTGTCTTGTTTCCGGGTGCTTGTTAGGCCCTAGCTTTCCGTCAGACTCTCTCTAAAGCTAGGCCTTACAGGGTGGAGTTAACCAAAGATCTGATTTGCTCTTCTCCTCACAGTGAGGAGCCCCAGAAGTCTCCAGAAAGGTTTGTAACAAAAGCCAGGGCACAAAGGCCTGGACTGAGGAGAGTCTCAGAAATGGTCCTTTCTTAGGCTGCCATCTCCAGGAATGACCTTCCCTTGTTTCAGTGAGGGAGGCTTGGTGAGGGCTGGCCTCGGAATCCCTGTAACAAGAGGGGCTACATCTCTGACCCTTCTGCCCCCAGATCCCAGAGGTGGGAACTAAGGCCCCAAAAGGGGGGGGGCTGAGGGAGGGTGGGGAGAGGGGAGCTGGGCAGAGTCTGTTGGCCCCAGAACGTCGAAAATGAGACTGGGTGGGTTGGGCTTAGTGTGCCCTCTCCGTGACTCTGACACATTATCATAGAATTAGGCATCTCCAGTGTTGGAACTGTTCTTTATGCTACGTGGACCTTCTTTGTCGCCACACTGTCCTACAGGTGTCAGGCCCAGCCCCGCTGTCTCAGGAAGAACTTGCCTGGTTCTGTGGGAAGGGCAGGGCCTTAAGCCAAACACCTTTAAGATCTCCCCACGCTCCCCCTCCATGATGTCGTTACCAACAAACAAGTCTTCTCTTCGGCTTTTCCTGTCGAGTGTTTTCCAGGTTTCCCTGTGTGATGCATCACTTTGGGGCCAATAGCAAAGGAGCTTGCTTGCATGAATACGCAGGAGTCCTGGTGTCCAATCAGGTTGTGATGGTATTGTTGGCATGCTCATCACCCACCCAGGGCTAGATGCAGGGGAGTTATCCAAAGGCTTGCTGACCACCCATCTGGGGCCTGTGGTGTCTGTGCTCATGGGGGGAGGGGCAGCGGGATACATCAAAATGACCCAAAAAACAAGCCAAGGAGCAAACCAGTACTTCCTGGAGGAGAGCAAAGGAAGGGATCACCCTGTTCCAGAGTAGTAAGTTAGTTCCAGAGGCTGCAAGGACCAGACAGGAAATGCTTGGGCAAAGTATATGTGAGCTCAACCCAACAAAGCAGCTGGCGTCCTACCTTGGGAGTGAGGCGGTGGGGTCCCCAGCACTTGGGGTGCTGGAGCAGAGAACTTCCAGGCTAGATTACAGATGGGGGGGGCTTCCACTTGGAACATGAACTGCCCAGGTGACCACTGAGGACCCCAAAATGCCACTAGGACTTTGTGTCACATGGCACCAAGAAGTGAGAATCTTCTCAACTCCGTGGCAAGTTCCTCAGGGGATGGAGTGGGGAGAGGGGATGGCTTGTGGCTGTTGCTGGGCACTTAAAGACCACAGTGAGGATGTGGGCATTCAGGAAGCAAATGGTTGTGTATAAGTGGTCAGTAGCACCCATCATCCTAGGTTGGGGTTCCCATAAGTTTGAAGGAGCAAATAAATTTCAACACTCCTACTCAAGGCGCCCTTGTTTGTTCTCAGCTATGACCATTTGGAACCCCCTGGCCCTCAGGTGATGGCGTCAGTGAACCCAGCACATAGGTGACCTGTGCGGGTGGAAGGCAGGCAGTCTCAGAAGTAGCCTAGGGTGCACAGCATGGCTGGCAATGGTCTATGTCACTGAAGGGAGCAGTTGGTGGCCTGAATTGGGGCACAGCTCCAGGGCCACCAGGGTAGGGGCTATTCTTAACTTGAGCTAAAATATACCCATGGTTGTATGGTGGTGTAGACTCCCACGATACTGAGGGAGAAACTAAGGGGCAGGGAGGGCCTGGAAGCCAGGGCTACTGCCATCCACAACAGGGTTGTACAGAGATTACACTTTGGCCCTGGACATGTCCTTGCAGAGTGGGCTTGTGGAGGGCATGAAAAAGAAGATGGGCGTACCCTTCAGGGTCCTGAGAAGAGGGTATGGGACTGGCAGGAAGCTGGCTGTGGTGGTGGGGGTTCTCAAGCTCAACTTTTCTATGGCCTTTGTAGAGAGCAGTAAAGGCAGCTGCCCACATGATACCTTCCTAACATTTTTTTTTTTATTGTGAGGCAATTGGGGTTAAGTGACTTGCCCAGAGTCATGGAGCTAGTGTTTTATGTGTCTGAGGCCGAATCTGAACTCAGGTCCTCCTGACTCCAGGGCCAGTGCTCTATCCACCGTGCCACCTAGCTGCCCCCTTCCTAACATTTTTGACAAATGAAACTAAGGCAAATGTCTGAGGTGGGATTGGCACCCAGGTAGCCTTGATTACAAATGCTTCACAGGGGGAGCCACTGAATTCTTGTATGAGAACCAGAGGAAGAGGAAAGGTCAGGGAAAGGGGAAACAGAAAGGTCCCAGAAGGCCATGCAGGAAGAGGCGCCCTCCAGGGTGTGCTATATTCACTTTGGGCCCAGCCAGGAATTAAGATTTGGTCTGTGAGATGACGTTCCCTAGCCTCCCTTCCCTTTCCCCCAGTGTATTTCTCTTCCCCTCTTAAAGCCTTCTCTGATGAGGAGAAGGGCCCCAGCTGCTAAGTCCTGTGGGATCCTGTCTCCTCACAGCTTCTATTTCTTTCTAGCTGCTTGACCAGAAAGCTCTGGAAGGGTGGTCATGAAGTCACCGGCAGTTTTCATCTGGAGGGTTGTTTTAAGAACTAACCTGTGGGGTCTTTTTCCCCTTTCTACTCAAGCTGTTTTCCAGGTCACTTGTTTTTCCTATGAGATACCTGGCATTTTCTTCTATTTTTTTTTTCAGCCTTTTGACCTTGTTTTAATATTTCTTGTTGTCTTATGGAGTCATTGGTTTCCATTTGGTCCATTCTAGTTTTCAAGGCATTTGGTACCTCTTTGACCATTGATTCTCTATCCAATTCTTTCTGCCATAGCCCTCATTTCTTTTCTTTTCTTTTTTTTTTTTTTTAGTTTTTAGGCAATTGGGGTTAAGTGACTTGCCCAGGGTCACACAGCTAGTAAGTGTCAAGTGTTGGTCTGAGGCCAGATTTGAACTCAGGTCCTCCTGACTTCAGGGCCGGTGCTCTATCCACTGCGCTACCTAGCTGCCCCTCATAGCCCTCATTTCTTATCCATTATTTTCCTCCAGTGTTCTGAATTCGTTTTAAGAAATGTTTAAAAGTTTTTTTTGGATCGTCACTTCGTCTCTTCCAGGAATTTCATTCTAACTTGTGCCCAAGCTATGTTGCTCTTTGAGGCTTTGTTCATAGATATGGTTTGCATTCGCTTCTTCACGGTGTGTGTCCCAAGCATCCCTCTCATCACACAAGCTTTGTGCCATGGGATTCCTTTTTCTCTTTCTCTCAGCCTCTTTTCTGAGTTAGGCCCTGGGCACATGCAGAGGGAAGGTCTGGGCTGGTCCTGTCTCTGCTTTCTTGGAGTATTGGGGTCACGTAGTTCCAGGATCTCAGGGATAGCTCAGACTGGGGACACGCAAGCTTTCCGTGCTCCCACAGGGGTCTGATCCAAGGCAAAAGCCAGTCATGCCTCCCCCAGGTCCAAGCTCTGCATGTTCCTGGCCTCACTTCCTGGCAGCTAACTGGAGAGCTGGCGGTTCAGGACTGCAGCAATGTAGACTCCTCTTGTTCTGTGCTGAGGTACATGCTAGAAGTGAGAGCCTGCTCTGAGCTTGGGATCGGAACCCTACCGCCTCCACCGCCGCCACTGCTGCCTTGCGAAGCCTTTCTTGGTGCACCATAGGCCGCTGCCCCCCCTTCCCAGTACAGGACCCCAGCCCCCATGATCCTGTCACAGGGCCCCTTCTCAGCGCACGTTGGATCTGTGACTCAGAACTGTGCCCATTACAACAGCCTGGCATGGCTCTGGACTTCCTTTCGGGTCGGTGCCCAGCCTCTCACTGGGCACCCACGTCTGCAGACCTACCTCCCAGTCACCAACCTGAGCCACACAAAGGACTCACCATGACTCTTTCTGATTGATTTCCCTCAGGACTCCATCTGGTGACTCTTCTAGATCTCTTTGGAGGAGCTGTGGACAGGAACTCAGCTGCCCCACCTCTCGCTGCCCCGCCATCTTGGTTCCACCCCCTGTGCCAGGACCACTTCAGAGCATCCAGGTTCATTTACTGTCACTCACTCCATTTCCATTGTAGGACACGTTGTTTATTCAGTCCCACCTCCTTCTCTTGCTGTCAGTCCCCATTAAGAAAAAGCTTTTGGACAGCATTGCCCCAAACAGGGATGGCTTAGGACAATCACAAGCAATTTTATCTAAGTTATGACATGCAAAGTACAGCCAGACATGAACTCAGTTAATCATCATAACAACCTTTGGAGGGAGGAGCTGTTATTATTTCCATTTTGCAGCTGGGAAAACTGAGGCAACAAAGTGACTTTCCCAGGGTCACATAGCTAGAGGATTCAAACTCGTCCTGTCATGACATAGTGGTTTCCCCATCACTTTAGGCATGCTAGCAGAAGCACAGATGCAACAGAAAGACATCTTAGCTGTGGATTGGTTTAGCCGTGCAGGAAAGAGTGACCCTCTCCTTTATTCTACAGCTCGCTCTGAGGAGGGAAACCACAGGGCAAGTTTGCCCAGTACCCACCCAGAACCCCATAGGAGCTCTTTTCAGGGTAGTAAGGAGCTGGAAGGAAAATGGATACTGTGGTGGCCATGGTTGTAATGGTGTGGCATGGTGCCTCAGAATGCCTGAGCATCAGAGATTTGAAAACCCCAGGGGAGCAGGGCATGGCCAGATGCAGAGTGAGGAAAGGAGAAGCAAGAGAGGCCCAAGTCATGATCTGGGCCAAGCTGGGCCCCAGAGAACAGAGGACAACACGGAGCTCCCTGCCCTCGAAGGGGTGGGGCACTCCAGGGGGGCAATAGTACATTTGCTGGCAGATGCAGCCCACACGTTGGCTACTTTTGCCAAACTGTGGCCTTTTAAAGATGCTTTGTTACAAGGGAAGGCTCACTGGGTGGGGGCAGGGCATATTTGGAAATGAATTTCATACCGAAGCAAAATGCATTTCAAGCAAACTGTTTTCGAGAAGAAATTGCTGCTCATTCATTTAGTCAGCACGCACTCATGGTATGCTTGGCTCTGCGGGAGGCACTGGGGGTGCAGAGACAAGACAAAAGCCAACCCATCCCCAAGAGGTTCTGCTCTAGCGTCATCAGTGGGGATGACCCTCCCAAAGGGGCGACGTCCTGCTTCTGCCCCCCGTCCGCAGCACAGGGCTCTGCGCCTAGTAAGCACCTAATAAATGCTTTCTCATTCATTTATTAATCTGGAGCGATGAGGGAACTTGGAGATTGTCTTGTCTAGTCTCCTTATTTGACAGAGATGGAAACTGAGGCACTGAGAGGGAAAGGGTCCTAGACAGCTAAGCGGCACAGTGGACAGAGCTTAGCTGGGTGGCTCTCAACAAGTCAGCTTCCCTGTGCCTCAGTTTCCTCATCTGTAAAATGGGAATAATAATAGCCCCCCCCCACAGTTGTTGGAAGGTTTTCAATGAGATAACACGTCAAGCACTTTGCCAGCCTTGACGTGCTGAAGGAGCTGCCAAAGACCACAGAGATAGTAAATGATCGAGGCGAGATTGGAATCCAGATCTGGCAGCACCAAGCTTGGTGCTTCAACTTGCCAGTTCTTGTTCCGTGAGTCAAAGGTGTCTTGATCTGTCCCCTCTCCCTTCTCCCAGGGGGGTCAATCAAGTGCTTTGCAAACCTTAAAGCTGGGGGGGGGGGATTGGGGAATTAGATAGCATATATAATATATAATTATTATACACAATATATAATTATTACATAGTATTATGTATTATATATAATATATTATGCATAATGGTGTGTGTGTATATGTAGAGAGGAAGAGAAAAAGAGAAGGAAGAAGGGAGGGAGAGAGAGAGACAGACAGAAGTAGAGACAGAAACAGAGAGGGAGGGAGGAAAAAGGGAGAGACAGAGGCAGAGAGAAATAGAGGGAAGAAGAGAGGAGAGGGAGGAGAGAGAAATAGATACTTTGTGTGTGTGTGTGTGAGAGAGAGAGAGAGAGACAGAGAGAGGAGAGAAAGAGAGAGATGGAGAAAAGAGAGAGGCAGAGAAGAGAGAGAGACAAAAGAGAGACGGAGGGAGGGGGGGAGAGACAGAGAGGGGAGAGACAGAGAGAGGAGAGATACGGAGAGACACACGGAGAGAGGAGAGAGAGAGTGAAAAAGAGAGAAAACAAAAAAGAGAGAGGAGAGAGAAAACAGGAGAGGGACAGAGACAGAGAGAGAGAGGAGGAGCAGAGAGACGAGGGGAGAGACAGAGAGACACACAGAGAGAAAACAGGAGAGAGAGACACACACACACACACAGAGACAGAGCGGGCACAAGGGAGCCAGAAATCAAGCGCCAGGGCTGGGGCTCTAGGGAAGGTAGCCATTCGTATCTCAGGCCACGTTCAATTGCCATCAGGGCTGAATTCTTCTTCCCCGGGGTCTAGACTGAGGCTTGTGTGTGAGAGATTTGGGGCACTTTGAACAAAGGAGGTTTGAGCCAGGCCTGGGCCCCTCCTTTTCCAGTGAGGAAAGCTCTCTCTTTGTGGTGTTTGTTGAATGAACAGCTCACTGTGTGGCCCTTTTTGGGAACTGCTCATGCCAGGCCTCTGTTCACTGTCCCCTGTCTTTCCTCCAAGGTTTACCCAAAGGTCCCAGGCCAGGAAGCCTCCAGATTCTGGGTGCCATGGGTACAGGTAGACACCTCCTCCATGTGTTTCTTGGGCAAAAACGATTCTATTTTCCTTGGCTCTCTCTGGTGGTCAACTCCAGAAGGGAGAAGGAGCAGGCCTGTTCTCTGAGCCAGTCACCTGTGCACAGTCCCTGCCCTCCCACTATGGCAGCTCCTTTCCTCCTATGAGTCAGGTGTTCCAGCCCTTACCTGCCTCTAAGTGACTTGGGGTTCCCACGGATCTTCTGGGTGCGGGCCACGAGGTAGCCTCTCCTCCCCCTGAAGATGCAGATATGTAGCCCTTTGGGCTCATGTCAGGGGCTCAGTCCCTGCCTGCCTCAGCCTCCACTTCTGCCCACCTGATGACTGCCCCCCACGCCCCCATCTCTTTCAGGCCCCAGCCGCAGACTACGGGAAAGGCTTCTCGAGATTGACAGAGAGGGGGAAGATGACGTCTTCGTCGCTTCTGGAGCTCAGCTCCATAGAGACGCCCACACTGCTGAGTGAGATCAAGACAGAGCCTCCCGAGGAGCTCCTGGCCCCCGAATGCAGCGTGCCCCAGGCTGAGCCGGTGGACCTCTCCCTGCACAAGCCCAAAGCCTCACCCCCACACACGGCCCCACTCTTGCCCTCGGCCATGCTGGTGGCCCCTTCAGTCCAGCCACCTGTGGTATCAGTGTCTCCCTCGCCCTCCACCTCTGCCATCCCAGCTGTGTTGTCTCCCGGCTCCATCCTGGCCTCGACCCAGGGCAGCAGTGGCCAGCAGATCCTGCACCTGATTCACGCCATCCCCTCGGTCAACCTGCCTAGCAAGATGGGCAGTCTGCAGACCATCCCCGTGGTGGTCCAGTCTCTGCCTGTGGTCTACACCACCATGGCGGCCGACAGCGTGACGGCGGCCATCACGGTCCCACTGATTGGAGGCGATGGCAAGAATGCAGGTTCTGGTAAGCACTGCCGACCCCCCCCCACTACCCCTCTGTTCTCTGTGCTGCTTGTGCCTTCTGTACCTTCCCCACTCACTCTGGGAGCGTGTGGAAGGAAGGCAGATTACTGGGGGCTGAGGGAGAAGAGTCACGAACATTTAGACAAAGTGCCTCTCACTGCTCACGGCCACCTCTTCTTTCCCCATTGCAGTGTAAACTCCTTGAGGGCAGGCTTGGCTTGTTTACTTGGACTTGTGTCCCAAGCATTGAGCCCACGCAGGACAGGCAGGAAGCACTTAACGGATACTTCTTAGCTTACTCGCTCTCTGTCTGTATCTATCTGTCTGTCTCCCTCTCTATCTGTATTATCTATCCATCCATCCATCCATCCATCCATCCATCCGTCCATCCGTCCATCCATCCATCCATCCATCCGTCCGTCCGTCCGTCCGTCCGTCCATCCATCCATCCATCCATCCATCCGTCCATCCGTCCATCCGTCCATCCGTCCATCCATCCATCCATCCATCCGTCCATCCATCCATCCATCCATCCATCCATCCATCCGTCCGTCCGTCCGTCCGTCCGTCCGTCCATCCATCCATCCGTCCGTCCATCCATCCATCCATCCATCCATCCGTCCATCCATCTCCGTCCTTCCGTCCATCCGTCCATCCATCCATCCATCCATCCGTCCGTCCGTCCGTCCGTCCATCCGTCCATCC